GGATGAACCTAAACCTACCGGGACATAATAATAAACTACCCAGAATGTTTAATATATATATATATATATATATATATATATACATGCCAAAATACTACAATTAAAACATGTACCAAAAGTTATATCAAGTTCTTCAAATATAACCGAATCAATTACTTCACTGGATCCTTTCCCTTGTCTAATTCTTTTCCTGAAAAAGAAATGTTGAAGAATTCGGATTAAGCACGAGGCTTAGTGAGTTAAATGAACTAAAAAAATAATATAAACATTTTATATTTATATATATATATCCAGAAGTATTTTCGGAAGACTTGATAAGTCTCCCTTCAGATCGATCAATAGAATTTCAGATTGAATTACTTCCTTGAGCAGGACTAGTTGCACGTGCACCATATAGATTAGCTCCTTCTGAATTAAAGGAGTTAATGTCACAATTGAAAGAATTGTTGGATAAAGGTTTTGTCCGACCAAGTACTTCTCCATGGGGTGCATCAGTACTATTTGTAAAAAAGAATGATGGGTCAATGAGAATGTGCATTGATTACTTGGAGCTAAATAAACTAACAATCAAGAATAAGTATCCTTTTCCAAGAACTGATGATTTGTTTGATCAATTGGTTGGGGCTACTTATTTTTCGAAAATTGATTTACGATCCGGTTACCATCAATTAAAGATTCGGGATGAAGATGTGTCGTGGAATGAAGGACACCTCTGGCTCAACACATGGGCCAGATAAAGAGCGAGTTTGAAATGAGCATGATGGAGAATTAACATTCTTTCTCGGCTTGCAAGTAAAACAGAGGGAGGATGGTATTTTTATTAGCCAAGCTAAGTATGTCGCTGACATTTAAAAAAAATACCAACTCCACAACTCTACCACAATGAGAACCCCAATCGCAGCAGGAACTAAGGTTGAGATAGATCCATCTGGAAAACAGGTGGATGTTAAGAGCTACCGTGGAATGATTGGATCACTGTTGTACCTCATGGCTAGTAGACTAGACATCATGTTTGCTACGTGTCTCTGTGCAAGATATAAAGCAAATCCTAAGGAATCTCTTCTATCGGCTGTAAAAAAAATCTTTACATAAGTGGCCTGCCTTTGAAAGCTGAGTAACACCAAGTCTGCCAACGATACTTCACATTGCCCAAGTACTTCATATAAGTTCATTAAGTTTACTCGCTCGCGAAAACATAAGTGGCCTGCCTTTGAAAGTTTTAACCACCACTTTTCTTTTCATTCAGCTGAAGAAAAGCAGCCCTCCCTTAGGAAAGAAGTAAAGACCAAGCCTTCTACAAATAGAATATCTGTACTAGATAAGAAGTTTGTAAAAATAACCGATGTTAGGATAGGATTTTCATCCCCTGCATTTACTTCTTCATTTTCAACGAATAAAAAGAAAGTTAAACATTCATGTTCAAAATATCATACCTGTCAATCTTTAGCACTTTTACAAAACCTGAGGAACCACATGTTAACCCACCGCTGCATAATTTCTAAACACGTCTATCGCTATAATGTTCAAACCAATGAAAACGTGAAAAAGCCCAAGTCTAAGGGCAAGGGAAATGCAAACAGGCCCAAGCCTGCAAAGGCTAAGGGTAATGAAAATCGACCCACTCCCAAGAGGGCTGATGAAAAGAGAAAGATCGTATCTCTGACTAACCAACGTGGACCCATTATGAAATGGGTACCTAAAACCCCATAAATTGTCTTGCAGGACCAGCATGTGCAACCATGGTATATGGATTCAGGTTGCTCCAGGCACATGACTGGTGACAAAATTTAGTTGTCCTCCTTCATCGAGAAATATGGAGGCTCTGTCACTTTTGGAGACAAAAGTAAGGGTACCATCAAGGGATATGGCACACTCATAAAAGGCAACACCTCCATCAGCAAAGTGGCTTATGTTGAAGGTCTGAAGCATAACTTACTAAGCATAAGACAGTTCTGCGACAAGGGTCTTGAAGTCAGATTTTGCAAGGGTTTCTGCATCATCGAAACACAACCCGGCCAAACCATCATCAAGGAAAAGAGAGAAGGAAATCTCTATCATCTGTATTTTCAATCCTCTGTGGGACAAGACACCCTCTGCCTTGTATCCCATAAGAGCGATGAAAATTGGCTATGGCATCAGAAGTTCTCACATCTGAACTTTGATGTACTAAAGAAACTAGCCAAACAGAAGTTACTCAAGGGGATTCCGGATCTTAATTTCGAAAAAGACCATCTATACTCAGCCTGTGAGATGGGGAAGCTGAAACGGGCCTCTCATAAAACAAAGTCAAAAACCTCCTGCACCAAGCCCTTGGACATGATTCACATAGATCTTTGTGGTCCTATATCTACACAAATCCTCTCTAGAAAGAAGTACATCTTAGTACTAGTTGATGAATACTTCAGATATACTTAGGTTGAGTTTGTGAAAAAGAAATCAGACGTTCCTAAACTCCTCATTGGGGTGATGAAAAGGCTCCAAGTCCTTCTACAACGCAAGCTCATCAAGGTTAGAAGTGATAATGGAACTAAATTCAGAAATGCCAGAATCGATGAATATCTCACAAGTGAAGGCATTTCGCAAAACTTTTTAGCTGCAAGAACCCCTTAACAAGAGGCAGCAAGGACCATGCTTGCTTCATCGGAGTTACCCATCACCTTCTGGGTGAAGCTATTTCCACTGTCTGCTTCACCCAGAATCTGTCAATCATCAACAAGAGGCAACAGAATACACCCTATAAGCTCATCAATCAAAGAAGACCAAATGTGAAATATTTCCATGTCTTTGGGTGCAAATGCTTTGTACTCAATGATAGGGAATATCTTGGCAGGTTCGACAAGAAAGCTGATGAAGGGATCTTTCTGGAATATTCTCAAACCGCAAAGGCCTACAGAGTCTACATCAAAAGGACAAAGATCGTCATCGAAAGCATCAATGTGTCCTTTGATGACTCCAAACCAATGACTTCTGGACACAACAGTTCAGGACTCGGACTTCAACACAAAGCCTCTGATTCATCATTTGGCAAACCCAATGAATCAGAGTTTACTCATCTATTTGAAGACATCTTCAAAGAAGAAGTAGTCTCTGGACATGCACCTACTGCTAAACCCACTTCCAAAGTCGATGAAGAACATGAAGTCTCTAATGCAAAAGGTATAACTCTTACTAAAACTCATGTTACTTCACCTTCTACTTCTTTTGTGTCTTCAGATCAAGAATCAAAACCAGAGCATCACTCTGGAGATGATCTCTTCGGAGGGAGCAAACAGTTCCATCGGTTGATGAAGAACTGCATCTTGTTGCTCTAGAACCCCAATCTTGCACCAAGTGGAC